ATAGGACAAGATAATGTAGGTACAAAGACATAGAAGATTCTGATAATAAATTAAGACAAAATGGTTTGTTCGTCGGAGTTCTTTTAGGTCCTTTCTTAACCTTTATGTTATCCATTGAAATATCCCCTGGCTGAACTTTAACTAAATGGTTCGTTGAGCTATGCAATGTATATTCAAACAAGGGTTAATCCATGTTTTAGGATGCGTCATGTATATAAGCAGATATTATCGTTCCTTAATGCTGTATCCCCCCCCCCCAGTTGCACAGCGGTATGTCTAGGGATTTTCAACGCTAGAAACCGGGTTTCGACACCCGTGATGGGCAGAGCACAGAGAGCCCATTGCGTAGCTTTGTGCTTAACTTCAAACAAACAAACCTTAATGTTCTATCCCCCAGTGGGTCATCGGTATGCTTACGAACTTACAACGATAATATCCAGGGTTCGACTCCCCGCGGTTGACACAGTAGATAGCCCAATATGACTTTGTGATGAAATAAACCTTAAGGTTTTTAAATTTTACAAATAAGAAGTTTTGTTTTATTAAATTAGGGATTTTTCAAAATGGAATTTGAGAACATTGCCATCAGAATTTTCCTATTCAATGTCACAATAAAAAAGCAACAAATTTATGTAAACATTTTACAGAACAGAAAAATAGAAAAATAGGAAAACAAACTGGTTTTGCCATTGATTTTCGTGGTCGTGAATTTTCACCTGTTTTAAGACGCTACACTTTTTTTTTTAATCACGGCTGGGATACGACTTGTTGGAAGTCTTATTTTGGAATGGTTCTTTGATCCCACTTTGACCCATATATGGAGGGCATGAATATTTTGCGTCCAAAAAGCATAGCACTATCTACTGAAAGTCGAACAATACCAAAATGTTGTGCTAATACATTCCGTTCCACCGCGACTTTATGTAGGCTGTGATTATCACGTGACTAGCTATTTGTATATTGAAAATAGATTTAATATAACTTACTCAACTCTCCGTAACAATAACAGTCAGAAAACATACGTATATTGTTCCGTGCTTATATAATCACACAAACTTAAAATCTTAGCTCTCTCCTTTATTATAGTTTTCAAAAATACACCTAAAAAACTTATTTTACTGAGATTTTAAGATCGAGAGATGGGCGCTCTGAGAGACGTCACTGCTCGGTATAATATATACAAGATTAGTAAAAATTGTTCATTTAAAAGGGCGGAATGGAGATCGTCAAAAAGTACAGAAACAAGTTGAATCCAAATGCAAAGATTATATTTTCAAGCCTATGAGTAGGAACTCTGTAAAAAGTAAACAAACAAGGCTGGAAATAGTGACTACATTATTTTCTCAAGCTACAAATCTATAGTTTAACTTTATGTCTACAGTACTTATCAATTTTAGTGGAGTCAAAATAAATTATAAATGTACAACAAAGAATAAACACATGTACTGGTATGCAAAACAACAAATAAAATGTAAAGTTGTTCTCGAATGATCCTCTTGAAGGCAAAGATTGTATAATCACAGACTTAATGGCAGGTTTCCATAAACGTCACGGTGTAATGTAACAAACAACGAGCAACAACGAAGCAAACTCATTTTAACGGAATAATATTTATTCTAATATAATACTCTGTGGACATACAACGCTAGAATCCGGGTTTCGATACCCGTGGTGGGCAGAGCACAGATAGCTCATTGTGTAGCTTTGTGCTTAATTACAAATAAACAAACTAATATAATACAACACAGATTAGGTCTGCGTCACCCTTTTGTATATTCCTCAACCGCCTACTGTGCACATGTGTTTGCTAGAATAAGCCGACACAAATAATGCATGAAAAATTGACAACAGAAACACACGTGGCGTAAGTCACCAGTTATTGACAACATTTACAACTGCTACCTTAACCCCAACTATTTAAAAATAGCAATAACTATATGAAATAGTGCTATATGGAGTGGTAATAAATACTGAATACGCACTCACGATCTCAGTTAAGCATAAGAAACAGTAGAAAGAATCACCACCGTCGTTTGAGTAGGGAAATTTACTGTGATAGTCGTCCAGTGTCAAAAACTTGCTGAAATATAGTTACGTAGAGACAGCAAACTCGAGTAACGATATGCAATAGCAAAATCGGGAACCTTTCACGTGGCAATTTCCAATTAATGCACTAAAAATGTACGATTTATAGTTTCCAACTAACGCGCCCGCTAGGAAAAACACCAGATTTTTTGAAGGCGAAAAGTGAAAATTTCGCAGCACGACAAAATTAAGGAGATCGAATTAAATTTGAAAGTACTCTCCCAGTTTTTTGTAAAATTCCTGTGCGATCCCAAAGTACAATAAATACCAGTTGCAATGATTTTATAGTGGAGTCATAATAGGGATTTGTAGCTGGAATAAACTGTCAGCAGTATATATATCCAGCCTTGTTTGCTTATTCTTGTGATTCATATTTGTAGGTTTAAAATTCTCACTTTATAATTATCTTTTAAGTTGGCTTTGTTAATGCACAGCAATGGACAAATATATGTCTAGAGTAAGAAACAACCCCACTAAGCGCGTATAAAACTTTACCAGTAGAAAAGCAGCCTTTTCAAATAAAACAAATACGTCTTAAACATCGCTTTAAATAAAGCTTCGTGTCTTTTAAAGTAATTGTTTACTGAGCCAGGTGGCTTTGTGC